CTTTTGATTTGATTTGCTTTGTTTTGAGATGACATCCCCTTAAGTAGTCCACACTAGACTGGGACTCATTCTTATAGCCTTGACCTCAAACTCAAGATTCTCATGTTCCAATCGCCTGAGTCCTGGGATTAAAAGTTTACCTAGGACAGTTGTTTGAATATAAGTGCCAAAAAAACCAATTTATTGAATAAATGCTTATTGCTGTATTGTCTCTAGTTGAATGTCCACATTTGATTTATTGATAATACTTTGACTTCTAGGAAGTACATAGGTAGACATGGTAAGTGCTGCCATACTGGTGTTTTGTTTCTGGTGTGTGGAATGAGGGGAAATCTGGCTGCAAATGTCAGTTTCCAGAAAATGTACATGTAATCAGCTATTGATTTGACTGCTTATACAGGACATGCATTAGTATTAGAAATGAAATGTTAGTAATAGAGTTAATATAGGATGAGGCGGCAGCTGAGGGAAGAGGATCCTAGGTGTGTTCAAGGCCATCCTGGGCTACCCAGTGAGTTTTGTCTCAAAACAAAACAAAAATATTGTAGGACTTCCTGTAAAAATCATAGCAAGGGTAGTGGTTAAATAGGTGTGAAATTTGGCCTGAAATATGAGTTTAATAGAATTTACTTCTGTCTATCTCCTAGGGTTTTTCATTTATTACACTATGATTTCTAGTTTAATGGGATCATACTAATGGTTCTATAAGGGACAGATTAATGAAGGACAAGGGCAGAAGCAAGAGACAGCTGGGAGGCTGTTGCAGTAATCAAAGCTACTGTCTTCTGTTCACCCCATCCATCTCTGAACATTTGTTTTTCTGGCAGAAGAAATCCTCTGTGCCTGTCTGTCTATCTCTGTCTCTTTGGATAAGAACTTGATGGCCTCTAACTCATGGTGATCCTGAGTACAGAGATTTCAGACATGTGCCACCCTGCCCAGCAAGAGATGTCATTTTGTTGGGAGGTTACCAGGAATTGGACTCAGGACCTTGTGTTTGCCAGGCAGGCCTTTATACCAATGTGCTACATCCCTGTCTTAAGAAGTCACTTTTAAGAAACTTTTAAAACTACTTTATACAATACACAATCATATACTACTATAGTATATGACTCACTGCTAGTAGCTATTAACGAATGTCTTCTTTACTAATTAATTATATGTGAACAGTTAACCTACGTGTAATAGGACAGGATCTTTAAATTATTTTTTAAAGAATACTGTCTTACATTGCTTAATTTACATTCTCTGTCCTGGTTCTTCTTTTTTTTTCTTCTTTTCCGTTTTTATCGGTACCAGGGATCGAACTCACGACTGCCTGCTTGCAAGGCAGGCGCTTATGCAGCTGAGCTAAATCCCCAGCCCCCCCCCCCCCTTTTTTTAAATGGGTACGGGGCTTGCAAAGCAGGCGCTGCTGAGCTAAATCCCCAGCCCCCTGGTTCTTCTCTTAACCAGTGATGTAAATGTTTAACCTAGTCAGTCTCTAACAAAAGTAAGTACTGAGTAAAGTTTATTGACTTAGATAAAGATTAAACCTCTGAATGTAATCTAATTAGAAATTTCTGCGAACTGAATTTACTAGTTGCAGAAAGTTAATTAAACGTTGAGGAGTCACAGATTGTGTTCTTTCCCTTAATAAAATCCTCGAATATTTATGATTTTTCTCTAAATAGCAAAGAAAATCTGCCTGAAAAATCTGTAGATTTAGTGTAATTAAGATTATATTTATAACATATTTTATCAAATTTAAGATGCAATTGATTAAAGGACTTTTTTAAAGGGTCTGGCCCAGGGTGCCTTTAAAGTCTGAATCTTCTTGCCTGTGTCTCAAGTGCTGGGTTAAGAGGCATGTACCACCACACCCAGCTCCTAAAATATATTTTAGTAATAGTGGTTTTTTATTTATTTATTTTGCTTTTTGAGACAGGGTCTTCCTAAGTAGTTCAGGCTGGCTTTCAACTCGCAGTGTATCCCAGGCTGTCCTCAACTCAGAGCAGTCTTCCTGTCTCAGCCTCTCCAGTGCAGCCATGTACTACCATGCCTGACCAGTAATATTTATTTATTTATTATTTATTTATTGAGACAGGATCTCTGCAATTGAGGCTGGCGTTGTGCTCACTTTGTAACCCAGGCTGGTTTCAAATTTGCAATGATCCTGATTCAGCCTCCTGACTACTGGTTTTACAGGCAAGTGCCACCACACCTGGCTTAGTAATATTTATTTTTTAAACCATGTTTACTCAAGAATCAGTTGTGCAGGGCTGAGCATGGTGGTTCACCCCTGTATTCCCAGTACTCACGAGGCTGAGATAGAATTGACTTGAGTTCCAGGCCAGTGTAGGCAATATAGTAAGTTCAAGGACAGCCAGAACTACATCACAAGACCCTGTCTCAAAAAAAAAAATTGTGCAAGTTGAAATAAGTAGAAGCTACTTGCAAAGCAGCTCCTTTAATATGTTGCAGGATTTCTGTTTGGAAAAAAAAAAAAACAAAAAGACTTCCCCTGTTTTGAAAATACATATGCCAGGTATAGTGGCGCTCATCTGTAACCACAGCATTGGAGAAACTGAGGCAGGAGGATTACTATGAATTTGAAGCCAGCCTGCACTATACAATAGTGAGACCTTGCCAGGAAAGCAACAACAACAAAAAACTCCGTACATATTGTAGAGAAGGGAGAATTGGGAGAATAGAGGAATATATAAAGAAAACCTATTGCTTTTCACAGTTTGGGTATTTCCTACACTTTGCTCTTTTTTTGTTTTTTTGAAATGGAGTCTTCCTGTGTTTCCTGGAGTATTGAACCTAAAGATCCTTCTGCCTCAGCCTTCTAAGTGCTGGAGTTACAAGTTTGTGTCACTGTGCCTGGCTGTTATATACATTAAAAAAAAAAATAGTCAAGGCCTGGCATGGTGATGCATGTTTATAATCCCAGCGCTTGAAGGCAGAGGCAGGAGGATCACAAGTGTGAGGCCAGTGTAGGCTATAGTGTGAGTTGAAAACCAACTTGAACTATAGAATGAGACTCTGTTGTGTATGAAAAATTTTGCATGTAGTGTTTTTTGGTTTACTTCATAATTAAAATTTGAAAGACTAATAACTAGGTAAGATGACCGAGTCCTGGACTTAATTAGGCTACTTAATAAGGCAACTTAATTAGACTTTAAATATTTCATATCTTTGCAACTGGCTAAGATTTTTTCCCACTCAAATTTTTTTGGTAAATTTTAGATATACATTATATACATTTAGATATACATTATATACATTTAGATAACACTCATCATAGAAAATTTGTGCAAACATGTAACATAACTTGATTCTTTTTTTTCCCTGGTTTTTCTACCCTTTCTTCAATCTCTCCTCCCTTCCCTGTTTCCAAAAGCTTTGTTTCCATGTTTCCCTTCTTTTATCTTTTAATATGTTTGACTCTTTTATAAGTTGCTAGAATTATTTAAAAAGAATTAAGAAGCAGAGTGTGGTGGTACTTTCCTATAATCCAGCACTCAGGAAGTTGAGGCAGGAGGATTGTCATGAGTTCAAGGCCAGCCTTGGCTACATAGTGAGTTCAAGACTAGTCTGGACTACATAGGGAGACCCTATCTCAAAAAACAAACAAAAAATAGTAAGAAATAAAGATTGTATGTAAGATTTGTAAGTAAAATTAAACCAGGTCTGATGGCACACACCTATAATCCCAGCACTTTGGGAGGCCGAGATAGGAGGATCAAAAGGTCGTCCCCAGCCTGAGTAATTTTAGCAAGACCCTGTCTTAAAAATGTATCTGGCATGGTGCACGCATCCAGTCCCAACAGTTGGAAAACTGAGGCAGGAGGAGCACTGTAAGAGTTTAAGGCTAGCCTGGGCTACACAGTGGGACCCTGTCTCGAAAATAACTAAATAAATAAATAAAACCAAAGTACTTTAGAATTGGAAGAATATAATGCGTGATAAAAAATGTTAAAAGTTTAAAAATATATATAAAACATAGAGTCAGATTGTAGCTCAGTGTGAAGGACCTGGGTTCAATACACAAACACAAAAGAATCGTAAGTAGAATCATAAGTGTGGGTACTGAGGTTGTCACTGAATAGTGGACCACTTGCCTACAAACGCAAATCCCTGCATCTATAGACAGCAAATGAAAGCACTAAGGGAATTTACCCAATTCTTTAGATGTCTGTATTATTTAGTGTATGTTTTTTCTCAGTTCTTTACAGATCTGTAATGTATTTAAATATATTTAACTATTTCATTATATATTCTTCAAAATAGGCGTTAGCCTGGTGTGGTAGTGCAAACTTGTAATCCTAGCACCAAGAGACTAAGGCAGGAAGATTATAAATTTGAGACTAAGCGGGGCGTGGTGGCTTATGCCTGTCATCCCAGCACTCAGGAGGCTGAGGTGGGAGGATCATTGTGAGTTCAAGACCAGCCTGGGCTACAAAGTGAGCTCAAGGCCAGCCTGAACTATATAGTGAGACCCCATCTCAAAAAAGACCCCCCCCAAAAAAATAAAATAAAATAAATTTGAGACTAGCCTAGCTTATGTGAGTTTAAAGCCAGCTTAAACTACACAGTGAGGCCCTGTCTCAAAAAACCAAAAAAAGTAAAATTATTGTTGAATATTCTTTTTATTATTATTATTTTTTGCTCTGAAAGGTAAACGTGTTTCCTTAAATTTAGACTACTTGATATTTGGGAATCATCTTATTGGAAAATAGAAGTTTTTTGTGGGGGTGAAATTTTAGTAGATCATGATTAGTTTACTGATTCATGCAAAGCAAAGTTTCATTAATGGTGTCAGTTAAAAACTGGTTACGATATTAGCATTACCCAAAGCATCTGTCCCTGAGTATATTTGTATGACCTTTCGAGTTCTCTTAGAGTTGAGATTATTGTTTGTCTTATTTTTGTATTGTATTAGTTACTGAAGAAAGTATGAAGTTATATAAAAGCACAGAATTTTCATTAAGATAATACCTGTTTTCTTTTTTTAGCTTAAAGCAATAAATGTAGATCTTCAAAGTGATGCTGCTCTGCAGGTGGACATTTCTGATGCTCTTAGTGAGCGGGATAAAGTAAAATTCACTGTCCATACAAAGGTAAGTGGGATACTGACTTTGTGTTGTCTTAGCCATTGATTAATGTGCTGATGTTACTATATGTATGTAACATATTGATTGGACTTCAGGTTCTGAACATAACTAGAATGGAATATTTTAGATTATAATTCTTACTATGTGACCTAAAAAGCTTTCAGGAAATAAACTTTTTATTAATTTGTTTTATTTTAATTTTATTTTAAAGAGAAAAAAACAAAGTTTCAAAACAAGATAATAAAGAAACAGTGATTGAAACATTGCTCATTATTGTCTTTAGTTACTCAGTACAAGATGTAGTACAAACAGTATTAGCACAAACCTCTGTTTTCAATGAATTAAGAGAAAGTAGTAGTATAACTAGCTTAACTGTCTTGATATGTATAGGGAAATGTACTTTTTACTTTATTTATTTTATTTGTTTTCTTGGTAATGGGAATTGAACTCATGACTCATGCTTGCCAGGCAGGCACTGTGCTGCTGAGCTATATGCCCAGTCTGGGAAATGTACTTCTTAAAGCTGATCATAGAACATAAACCTAATGCAAACAATTTAATTTTCTCTAGCTTTTATTAATATCTTTTAATGTGATTGTGATTTTTAGTTTTGTTATGTTTCTTCAGTTTGCTTACTATCTCACAACTTGTGGGTCTGTTTTTTCTGTCTTTAAATAGTTGAGTTGATACATATATTGACAGGACAACTTTACTAGTGGTAGCAGTACAACGTGTCAGCTTATTTCCCCAAAGATCTTAAGATGGTCTGTGAGGGTATCTAATTTTCATAGTAGAGTTGGTTTGTTTTTTCTTTGTTTGTTTTTGGTTTTTTGAGACAGGATTTTATTTTGCAGTTCAGCTATAACTCAATTTGTAGTCCAAACTGACCTTGAACTCACAGCAGTTCTCCCACTTCAATCTCCCAAAGGCTGGAATTATAGCTGTCCACCATCATGCTTGTCCTGTTTTGGGTTTTGATGTTTTTTTTTTTTTTTTTTTCTTTGTTTTTTTGAGACAGGGTCTTTATGCAGTTCAGGCTGGCTTTGAGCTCACTTTGTAGCCCCGGCTGGTCTCAAATTCCCAGTGATCCTCCTGTTTTAGCCTTCCAAGTGTTGGGATTACAGGTGTGTGATACCACACCCAGTTTTTTGTTTGTTTTTTTCTTTTCTTTTTGTTGGTGACAGTCTTGCTATGTTGAAGCTGGCCTTGAACTCACTACATAGCCCAATTTGGCCTTGGAACAATCTTCCTGCCTCAGCCTCCTGAGTTTTGGGATTCCAGATGTGCACCACTATGTCCAGTTTTTGTAGGGTGTTCTGTGGTATTTTGTTTTTGCATTCTGGGGATTGAATTGGGGCATGCTAGAAACAGTCTAGGCAAATGCTGTACCATCAAGCTACACTCCCAACCCTTATTAGAGTTTGAAGTCACTGATAATCTTTCAATGAAGACTAATTTTCTTTTTAAACTAAAGTGTAAACAGTTTATTAAAATTAAGATGTAAATGTTTGTAAGTGTAATTTTGACTTCTATTCATGAGTCTAACTTTGCAGAGTTCATTGCCCAATTTTAAACAAAATGAGTTTTCTGTTGTTCGACAACATGAGGAATTTATCTGGCTTCATGATTCCTTCGTTGAAAATGAAGACTATGCAGGTTATATCGTAAGTATTGACATGTCACTTGTTTGTTTGTTCATGTATTCATTCTTTTTTTTTTTTATGTATTCACTCTTAAGAGTAGGAAAATTTTTTGGGGAATAGGAATAGCTCTTGAGGGACAGAAGGAGTCCTGAGTGGTTGCCCTTGGCTTTCACTTAAATTCCATTTTTTAGTGACATTTTGGATTTCTTTGTTTCATCGTTTTGGAGTTTTTTGAGGTTTTTTTTTTTTTTTTTTTTTAAAGACAGGGTCTTGCTATATAATTCAGTCTGACCTTGAACTCACAGCAGTCCTCCTGCCTCTGCCTTCTAAACTCTGAGGTTACAGGTGTGCGTCACCATGCCCAGCTGGATATGTTTTTATGCATTGCAAATCTTAGCATTTTTAACAACTGGTGTGATTTTGTAAAATTTGCCCATTACAAATTATTGGGCTATTGCCTTTAAAGTGTCAAGCTGTGGAAATAGGTTAGGCTTCCTCATTTCAGTTTCAATTCTTGGTGTTAGAACTAAAAAAGGCTTGTCTTAGGAAATAAGTAAAGGGATGTTACAAACCATACTGATTTTTTTACTGAATTGGTACTTGCCAGGCAGGCACTTGTGCCGCTGAGCTGAATACCTGGCCCCCATATTGATTTTACACCCTTGAGTAGATAGTTCAGGAATTGGAAAACTCCTGAAGACAAGAGTAGATGGTTAGGTTATTCTGCCTCAGCTGTTAGCTGTCATCTGTGACGTTTAACTTTTTGAGACAAGGTGTTGTTGTGTAGTCCAGGCTGGCCTTGAACTCATTATGTATATGGCAATCAGTCTTCCTGCCCGAGCCCTCAAGTGCTGATGTTACAGGGATATGACACCAGCTGTCCTAGTATTTATTAAGTTAAAAATGTGGGCATAAGGTGTTATAAATTCATTAATTTGAAAAAATACAATTGTATTTAATCATACCCTTTGCATATACTCTTGGAAAAAAGTACGTGTGTTTGCTGTACACATTCGTTTAGCCTATCATCAGAACTAAGAATTTGAAGACTTGGGGCTGGGGGTTTAGCTTAGCAGCATAAGCACCTGCTTGGCAAGTGCAAGGTTGTGAGTTTGATCCCTGGTACCCCACCTCACCTCCCTCAAAAAAAATTTGAAGACTAAGTTGCCACATAGGAGTCAGAAGATTAAAGTTTGACAGCTGTTTTAGAATCAGAGAACGCTATGCTCTATTTTTCTTCTTTGGTATAAAGGGCCTCAGTGGTCTTAGTTTTTAGAACTAGTGAAGTTCTCTTATCTGAATTTGAGTGTTTCTGTTTCATTGAGGATACACTTAGCTTTCTCAGCACAATAGTTTAGGGTGCTGTCAGAAATGAAATGTTTCCTACATTTAGTGATGCGGTTTTGTTCTAGATCCCTCCAGCACCACCAAGGCCTGATTTTGATGCTTCAAGAGAAAAGCTGCAGAAGCTTGGAGAAGGGGAAGGGTCAATGACAAAGGAAGAATTCACAAAGATGAAACAGGAACTGGAAGCGTATGTGATGTTTTCTGTTTTGCTTTTGTTAACTGTGCTTATTTGAATGCCTTTTTGTGTGCTCTGATACCCTGGTCTTTCAGTTGCTTTACCATCGTGACTTTTGGAAAGATGCAGGTTTAAGTCACACAGATAGTGTTAATGATCATGATCAGAGCCAACTGGAAAATTATAGAATAATTGTCTCCATTATAAAAATCTTCAGTGTTTTAAATAGACTCTGAAAGTTGAAAGCAGACTATTGAAGAGTTTATAAAAGACAAGTAAAAAGAGAGCATGACTTTCAAAATAGAGAATGAGTATTTTTAAAAATTTATGAGACCGTCATTACCCATCTAACTGTCTTTTTTCAACTTCCATTACGCATAGAAAGTACTGAGCAATTCGTTACATATTTTCTTTAAAGTGTGTGCGTATGTGTGTGTGTAATTTTTCTTGGTCCTTTCTCTGCCTGTGGCTTTGGTCAAAAGGGAGAGAAATAGGAGCAAAGTAACTAGAGAATCATTAAGGCTTGTTTTTCATTAAATATTAGTTTCATATGTACTAGAAGCATATTAAGTCCTTGGAAAATTGTGATCATTTATTTCATTTTTAGCCTATTTACTGAAAATATACAGTCTTGCCTTTTTTTAATTAAAGATTTAGATTTTAGATTTTCAACTTTCCTTGCATTCTTGTCACCTCCATCTCTTTTTCTGGTCATTTCTCCCCTCATACATTTCCTCTTCCACTTAGTTTTAGTTTGCAAGCATATTTTTAGCTAGGGCTATCTATACTCAGTGATAACAGCACTTACCTAGTGTGCACGAGACTGGATTCAATCCTTGTCCTGCACTAAAGTTTAAAAACATGTAAGCATATTGCTAGTAATGTATTTAGAATACTAAATAAATACTTTTGAAAAGATTAATTAGCAAAGTAGTTATTAATATTTTAAGAATTCTGTCAGTGCTGGATGCAAGCAGTAGTCTGATGGCAGATAGATATATTCGTAAAGTTTATAAAAACAACTGGAAATTAGCAGAACACATTAATATTGAAGAATCTGTGATTTTCCAGTGGCCCTGATCATGATTCTTTTGTGGTCTGGTTAGGGGTTGGATAACAGAGAGCCTTGGGTTTATTCTACTGCTACCTCCATCCTCTGCATCCTTCTTTTTTGTCTCCACTGAATGACTACCTTCCCAAAGATCAAACTTCTCCCAACATTGATCCTGCTACTTTGCTGGTATGTAAAACTTATCCTTCTTGCACATAATTGCAGCAAGAATATTGGGCCTTTTCCTTGAGTGTTTTCCCCCCATCAAACTGACATGTATCACTGTCACCGGAATTCATTGATGGTATTAAAATATTTTAAAATACGTTTCTTCCATGTAGTGGCAAAACCCTGACTCTCTACGGTGAGTTTCTTGTGTGTTTGAGTCATTAAATGAGAATAATTTGAAAAAAATATGTAGAGTTTTGAGTTTTGATTGTTTTTGTAATTATATAGAATTGAATCATTAAGGTGGTATCAAATAATTTCTCTGGAGCTAAAATCAGAAACCTCAGTAGTGACCTTTAATATCAATTTGGATAGTAAGAAGTTTATAAAACTTACAGATAGTAGCATTTAGATATAATAAGTATTAGCACGCAGTCTTTTTAAGTGCTGGGTTTTAACACATTTAATAGTTTAGCTAAAACATTTATTTACATGAATTGCATTTTGTAATTTTGCTTTTAAAATAACCTACCAAAGATTATTTGCCAAAAATATATTGCAGGTGACATTGTAGTTGATAATTTTTATCTTTAATTTTGTGTGTTGTTTCCAGTGAATATTTGGCAATATTCAAGAAGACAGTGGCAATGCATGAAGTGTTCCTGTGTCGTGTGGCAGCTCATCCTATTTTGAGGAAAGATTTAAATTTCCATGTCTTCTTGGAGTATAATCAAGATGTGAGTATCAGATTGATGCAAACAATAATTGAAGTCTCTTTTTAGAGTCATTGGAAAAGGCAGGAAGTATTAGAAAAACATAAGGCCATTTTTAGCAAGATTTTTCAAGGCATTTGAAAGTAGCGTGTTGTCAGTATTTCTAAATAGGACGAGTAATTAAAGAAGTGATAGAAAATTGTATTAGAAGTTGAGCATCCCTAATTCAAAACTCTGAATATAAAACTTTTAGATTTTAGGGGCTGGGGATTTAGCTCAGCAGCATAAGCACCTGCCTTGCAAGTAGGCGGTCGTGAGTTCGATCCCTGGTACCGATAAAAAGTTAAAAATAACTAAATAATAAATAATGTTTAAAAAAAAACTTTTAGATTTTGTTTTGTTCTGTTTTTGAGATAATGTCTAACTATGTAGTTCAGGCTGGCATTGAATTCACTAGGTAGCTCAGGATTCCGCAGTCCTGCCTCAGCCTCCTGAGTGCTGGAATTACAGGTGTGCACCACAATGCATGGCTAAGATTCAGATTTTTTTTTTTTTTTTTTGGTCTTACTGAGAAAGGGTATTGGTCTCCCTTACATAGTTCAGGTTGGCCCTGAGCTCACTTTGTAGCCTAGAAACTTGCAGTGATCCTCCTGCCTCAGCCTCCTGAGTGCTGGGTTTACAGGTGTGTACCACCATCAAATTTTAGAGCATTTCATATTTCAGTGATTTTGATTCCATTTAGCCTAGACAGATACTCCAAAATCCTCAAAATTCTAAAATCTGAAACTCTTATGTCTCCAAGCATTTCATATAAGGGATACTAAGTCTGTACTACATGGGACATAGGTTTTTCATCCTGAAAGGTGAACTTAAAGTAGGGTTATCAAATTTGTTAAGGTTCCTTAATTTGATTTTGGCATGTTGTGAATCCTTGTGATTTGTAGAGAGGTGCATGAGCTAAAGAATTCTAGATTGCCTGGTGTAAATGACTTTTGATCTGCTTAACAATCCTTTGTCAGTGTTTATTGCTCCTAATTTTCTCTACTTTCTTTTTTTCTGCTTAAAAACTTTCAGCAAAAGAGAATGAGGTAAATGAGCAATTATAAATTAAAGCAAGTTAAAGTCTGAGTAAGTTATAAATTTCTTTGGCAACGCATTTGGGACCACTCCTGTCACTCAGGAGATATCCTATCTTCCATTTGTCTTCTCCAATAAATTTTCCTACTCAAAAAAATAAAGATTTCGTCATTCTTAGTGTTGATAAAACCGGGCATGGTGATGCAAGACTATGATCCCAGCACTTGAGAGGCTGAGGCAGGAGGATCACTAGGAGTTTAAAGATCAGCCTGGCCCTTGAGTTCAAGTTCAGGCTGCACTACAAAGTGAGACTGTGTCTCAAAAGAACAAAACAGTGTTGACAAAAACTTTTAGTGAGTAGGTATTATAGGTATCAGAGTGTACTTTTAGATGACAAGATTAATTCATAATTGTAGTACAAAACAAATTTAGTATATAGTGTCATTTGCTTACAAATTAACATAAAGATTAAAGAATTTTCTCATAAGTTTACTTTCCTGGTTTGGTCTCAGAAGATATGACAATAAGATATCCTAAGTTTAGCAGTAAGAGATAAGATTTATAAAAAATGAAAAAATAATTTATAAAAAATGTATGCAGTAACTCAGAATCACAGAAATATTTAGCACTTTAAGCATAGGTACTTTCCTAATATGAATGTGGTGTGTGATACTGGTATGTGGTCATTTGTAACTAAGATCTGTAAAGATTACTGACTATATTGTGAATTAGAAGAAACTGAAAAATGATTTCTGATAGAATTGTACAGAATTCACTACATGGCAAGAACACATCATAGAATGCTATCATTGTGTTTTAATTTTTAAATTTTAAAAAAATTTTTAAGATAGGGTCTTGCCATGCATTTCTGGTTGATATTCATTTATTTATTTATTTTGTCTTTTTGACACATGGTCTCATTATGAAAGTTTAGGCTGACCTTTAAACTCATTTTGTAGCCTAGACTGGCTTCAAACTCACAGCAATTCTCCTGCCTCAGTGTCCTGAGTACTGGGATTACATGTGTCTACCACCACGCCTGGCTGCCTTTTTTTTTTTGTTGGGCTGTATTTATGGCAGGACTAAACTCTCTTAGTAATTTGGAACAGCATAGATGTGAAATCTGACATGTGGTAGTTTTCAGTGCAAGGCTATTTGAGCTATAGCAGCCTCATTCTTCAGATTTTATCCTGTTAGCGAAGCCTTTAGCAGTACCTAAAGAATAAATATATAAACTTTTTGTGTTTTGAGTCAGGGTCTTGTTACGTAGTTCAAGCAGACCTTCCTGGTGATCTTCCTGCCTCAACTGCCCAAGTGCTGAGATTACAGGCATCATCACGATGCCCATCAATACATATATATATGTAGAGAGGGGGACAGGTGTGAGTACTAGAAGAGTTTGTTTTCTTCCTACTAAAGTATCAGTAAGTAAAAAAAGATTATTAAATCTTTAGACCAGCATTATAAATAGTTTTCAGAAAGCTTAGGATTTCATAGATTTTTCTCTCACCAAAGTAGATTTACATATTTTTATTCCTTACAATCATATTCTTCAGAGAGCCAGGTATGCATGCCTGTATTCCCAACTATTCAAGAGACTGAGAGAGGAGCATTAAAAATTTGAGACCAACCTGGGCAACTTAGTGAGATCTAGTCTCAAAATAAAATTGAAAAAAAGGGCTGGGGATGTAGCCCACTGCTCTGAGTTCAGTTCCCAATAGTGGGTGAAAAGTTGAAAAATGACAGGCTCAAAATTAATTTTTTTCCCCCAGTTTTGTATCTAATGGTCTTTTGGTTTTGTTCATTTTCAAATCTTGAGCTAATGGTACTGGGAGAAAACCTGTATAAGATACTGTGTTAGAGCATCATGGACAGATGATATGGGAGGCCTAGTATGGCTTGTGCCAGCATTTACTGATATGAGAAAGTGTTGCTAGTAGAAGTGACCACCCTTAATTTGCTTTAATTATATGGCTGTACACTCTGTGTTTCCAGTAGGTATAGTCTGAGTCTGGTTAACAGTAGATAATACATATTGAACCTTGCTAACCTTTAAATTCTTGTTAGATGTCCTTGGTAGACATACCTAGGCTCTTGCCATTACCTTAGTATGATAGATTCCAAACATAGTCTGTTGTCCTTCAGTTCTCTTCTTCGTGTTGTATACCTATTTTTTACTCATTGGTACACCTTAAACCTTGACCTGTATTTTGACTCAGCAGCCTGCAGGTGGTTTACCTCTTTGTCATCTAGTGTAGAGTACCTGCTGCATCATCTTCTTTTTCTTTGAGCTGGGGTCTCACTATGCAGTTCAGATGGACCATGGGCTCACTGTGTAGCCCAAGCTGGTCTTAAAAACTTGTAACAATCCTCCTGTCTCTGCTTCCTGGGTCCTGGGATTACAGGAGTGTGCCACCACACCCAGCTTGTTGCCCATCATTTTCACGCATCTTTCAACATTCCTCTCTTCTCTCTTCTCAGTCTTTCCCTCCCTCTCTTCCTTCTTTCTTCATCCCTTCCCACTCTCCATGTTTTGAGAGGGTCTCATAACAGTGTGGGCTGTCCTCAAATGTGCTGTGCAGTCTGTGCTGGCCTCAGACTCCTGGTCTTCCTGCTTCAGCTTCTGAAATTTTGGCCTCACTGGCGTACACCACCACACCTGGCTCCTTTCTTATTTTCTGTAAAAGCTAATCTCAATACATAGCTGTTTCTCTTGATCATTGACCTTGCTTACAAAGAAATGGAAGCCAGTCAGAGAGTTGAGCTCCCAAACTTCAATTCAGCATCAGTCACCATGGCAGCCACATTTATTATTTAGCTTTCATATTCTTAGTTTTACTTCTTTCTAGTCTCTGTTTTTGCCCCCCGCCCTTTTCTGCCCTAGTTAGAATCTCATATACTGTTTAAGTACAAGTGGCAACGGCGTACAGTCTTGTCTTATTCCTGACCTTTGGAGGAAAATACTATATCACCTATAAGAATGATGTTAGTTGTGGGTTTTTTAGTAGATATCCTTTTATCAGGATGAAATTTCCTTCTTTCCTTTGTTTGTTGAGTGTGTTTGCCATGAGAAAGCAAATTTAGTGCGGTGATTGGGGTTTTTTTCCTCCCTTTTTTCTGTTAACAGGGCTTGCTACAATGTGCCTTTCCATTTTGACTAAGATGACTATGCACAATCCCCATACTTACTGGTCGTTATTATTTATTTATTTATTTATTTACTTTTTGTCTTTTTGAAACAGGGTTTTGCTATGCATTTTAGGCTGGCCTCAAACTCACAATGATCCTCCTGCCTCAGCCTCCCAAGTGCTGGGATTAGAGGTGTGTGCCACCATGCCTGGCTCACTTTTTGGCTTTTACAACATCTTGTGATTGGTTGACTGCCTACTTCCAGTCTCTATCATGGACTTTTCCCTCCATGTACCTATTCATTTACATTTTCTTCTCCCAGAGTTCTCATTGAGTTCTACAGAGGATTGAAGTTCTTCTGAATTCAAATTTTATGCATTTTCTGTAAGTGACCACATATTTCTGTGGCTTCAGGCACACTAATGTGCTGTCATCATGCTACTCTGGTTACTAGGTCCCAGCCCAGTATATTAAGCAGCCTGCTAGTGAGCTCCCCTGAAATGTCTGTTTAGCAGGAAGAAAATGTGCTCATGTTCCCTCTCCTCCCTCTCCATCTCCTCCTCTCTCTCCATTATATATAATATCAAAGAAGTTACTGATGCCTGCCTATTTCCTTAACCAGAAAATTGTCTGTTGCTTTCTATTTCTGTTAGGAGTGGCTTACTATATATTAGCAAAGTGTCTGCTTCCTTCCATTGCCAGGTCCAGGTTAGTCCCAGCTTTTCTTTTATTCTTGGCTGAAGGTGACTGGCAGGTTAAATCCATCATACTGCTGATATACCTTCAAAGGTTGTCTAGCTCTTTTTCTTTTTTCTTTCTTTCTTTCTTTTTTTTTTTTTTTTGAGACAGCATCTTGCTATATAGCCCAGGCTGCCTCAGTCCCTCTTGAACTGGGATTACAGCCATGAGCCACCACACCTGGCACCATTCATAATTTTTGTCTAGGTTATTATAGCAGCTGATCCTTTGACCTTTACTCTTACCTTTCCCTTACCCTAAGTGTAGACTAAATTTTTTGGGTGCTCCCCTCCTCTGTACCATAGTTAAGAATGGGAGGCCAGGCATGGCAGCACTCACTTGTAAACCCAGCTACTTTGTGTTTTGTTTTATTTTGTTGTTTGTTTTGGTTTTTGGTACTGAGGATTAAATGCAGGACCTTCACATTGAGCTACCTTTTTTGAGACAAAGTCTCAATTAAGTCACCCAGGCTAAGTTGAAATTTAGAAACCTTCTTCAGCCTTCCAGAATGCTGGAGTATACCCTGCCTATCTCATCCCAGCTACTTGAGAGACAGAGGTGGGAGGACTGCTTCATTGAACCCATGACTTCAAGACCAATTTGGGCAACATAGACCCCCATCCCAAAAAAGGAAAAAATATATGACCCATTTGATAATCATCTTTGTATCCCAATATAATATAGTTCATGTTGCAATAGATGTTAGTTAATGATTTTTTTTTTTTTTTTTGAACGAATGAATATCAAGAACACAAGTTTCAGCCAGGCATGGTGGTGCACACTTGTAATCCTAGCACTCAGGAGACTGAGGTAGAATCTTTACAAGTTAGAGACCAGTCTGAGCTACAAAGTGAGCTCAAGGGCAGCCTGAACTGCATAGTAAGGCCCTGTCTCTGCATGCCACAAAAAGAAGAAAGAGGTTTTGTTAGGTTATATATATATATTTTTTTTCAGTTTTTTGAGACAGGATTTCACTATGAAGTTCAGAGTGGCCTTGAACTCACTATATAACCCAGGCTGGTCTTGATCTTTCAATGATCCTCCTGCCTCAGCCTCCTGAGTGCTGGGATTATAGATATTACCACCATGCCTGGCAAGAATACAGTTTTTAAAAATGTATATACATTAGGCCAGGTGTGGTGACACATGCCTATAATGTACCTAAATCTAGCACTTGGGAGGCTGAGGCAGGAGAAGGGCCAGGCTGGGGCACATAATAAGATCCTGTCTCAAAAACCATATGCACACACAACCAAAGAGTGTCAGGAAGTCTAAAAAAGATAAAGCAATAAATTCTGACCAGGAGTTTGGAAGGGTTTATATGCCATTTAATTTGGCCCAAGAAGTTTTTTTTTTTTTTTTTTTTTTTTTTTTTGTGGTGGTGGTGGGAATTGAATCTCCAGATCCATGCTAGGCAAGCACTCTGCCACTGAGCCACACCCCCAAGGGACTGAGTAGAATTGATAGACTGAGTTACTCAAAAGTTGATTTTACAGCTCTATCCCAGGCAGTAATGTGGATTGGAATGAGGAGCTGAGGGTTACTGATGAATAGTTCCATGTGGTAGCCGAGGAAGGAGATGTTGAGAACTTTCACTAGGACAGTGAGGACAGAAGAGATTTGTAAAACATTTGCTGGTAGAATTTAAGTGGTAAGAGAAAGGAAGAAGTATGTTACTGTAAGATTTTAATAATAAGAAGAAGGAAAGGTGGTGCTAATATTGATTGAAGTAATTTTTATGCCCATATTTTGTACTTGAGTGACTAAAGATAATGTGTAATTTATCAACAATTGTTACTTTTTCATTATTTTGTTGTGAAAATTTGTTTTACCTTTTCTTCTTAATATTAACAAATAAAGTAATAAATTAAAAAAAAAATAAGAAGTATGGCTTTTTTATCGGTACCGGGGGTTGAACTCATGACCGCCACCTGCTTGCAAGGCAGGCGCTTATGCCGCTGAGCTAAATCCCCAGCCCCAAAGTATGGCTTTTTCAGAACATGTTGAAGTTTGAGTCTGGTTGGATAAAGTGGTTTTGAATCAAAGATTAGAAGGTGGGAAAAGGAGAAACTTGCACGTGAAATCCCACTGAGCACCATTTTAGACTCATCAGTGCGGAGTTAGTTTCCCTGTGTGATGTGTTTGTGAAGCCCAGGAGCAGCTCAGAGACATTGTGTTAGTCGATGTGCGGTGCTGTTATGAGAGGCCTTAGACTGGGCAGTTGTTTACAGTAGTGAAGGCTGGGAAGTCCAGGAGCAGGATCTTGGCAGATTTAGTGTCTGAAGGGAGTTCTCTACTTCAGAGATGACAGCTTCTTAGTGCGTCTTCAGGTGGCAGAAAGAGGAAACAGGAGGCTAACCAGTTCCCTCAGGGCTCTGGGCTCCGGGCTTTGGTGTGAAGGTGCTGCCCTGACGAGCTGAGCACCTGTCGGAAGTCCACCTCTTAATACCATCTCCTTAGGGAAGAGTTTCCACAGAGGGATTTGGGAAAGGGACACTCATTCAGACCACAACAGGTGGTGGTGGAGATTTGTGAGTCATTTACCTAAATGTAGCTGATCTGGAACTACCCCTGTTTAGTGTATGAAGGTTGGCCCCAGTGTCCTCCTGAGATTGGAGGAGGAGAGGTAGACAGATCTAGGATTGCACAGAGCACAGTTCGGTGGGAGACTAGAAGTGTAGTCCTCAGTGGCAGCAAGACATTTTGGATTGCTAAGACTGGGTCAGTAGAAGGGGTATGTATGTGGGTTAGGACCAAGTAACTTCACTTTAGCTAAAGTATACCTGGTTTATCATTGGTTTGGGTATTGAAGATTGAATCTAGGGCCTTGTACATTCTAGGCTCTCTGCTGCTGAGCTATATCCCCAGCTCCTACCGGGTTTATCTCAAACTACTATCAGAGAGACAAGCCAGACATGTGGCACATGCCTTTAATCCCAGCACTTAGGAGGCTGAGGCAGGAGAATCACTGCTAGTTTGAGACCAGCCTGAACTACAAAATGAGCTCAAAGCCAGCCTGAATTGCACCGTGAGACCCTGTCTCAGAAAGACCAAAAAAAGGCACATTACATTCCTAGAGGCAAGGTCTAGTTGCAAAGCTCCATGTACCAGTCTAATGGTTTTGTCTATTTACCATTGGTTTTGTACCATTTGCTAAGGAACTATGCAGGCAAAACTACCTAGGGTTACTTAGGGCAGTTAGGAGGACTAGGACTCAATATGAGTAAGGTCACGTGTGCAGTAAAGTTGTGGCACGCAGAAGGAGGTTGGATGGAATGTTGCTTTACCGCACCTCTTAAAGCAGCAAGTGCCAGAAATCAAAGATTTGCTGCTTGTTTTCCTCTTAGATAATTATTCACACTATTTAACTCATCTTTTGTGTGCCTTGTACTATAAGCTGATGACCCTCAACATGTAAGAGGTGATATTTGGGTGAGTCCAGAATGAAGAACATGTGCATGGCTAAAAACTGGCATCCTTTTGACGTTGCCATTTAAATGTCTAAGGATAAGTGAAGCACTACTTTCCATTTGTAATTCATAATTTGAGATGGTTTCTCTAAGTAGTTCCGGCTGAACTCACTAGGTGGTCCAGGCTAACCTTGAACTCTTGGTGATCCTCCTGCCCCAGCCTCCTGAGAACTGGGATTACAGGTGTGCATCACCACATCTGGCTGCATTTGTAACTTGAACCAGTTCTAACTTAAATTACCTTTTTTTTTTTTCAGTTGAGTGTTCGAGGAAAAAATAAAAAAGAGAAACTTGAAGATTTCTTTAAAAACATGGTCAAATCAGCAGATGGAGTCATTGTTTCAGGTGTAAAGGTGAGATTTTTTAATTAGCACTGTTACTGGTTCAGTATTTACTGTGAGGAGAAAAGTATGTTGAGATTTCAGATGTGCAGAATTAGAGTGAAAGAGAAGTTTGGGTAATAGAATCTATAGGACTGTGAAATTGCCCTGCCCTGGATTCCTCTTGGGTGAGTTCCCTTTCTGAGGACTAAGAAGTCTGCACTCCAAGGGAATTTGGCCACCTGGAGCCCACGCCCCTTCTAAACGAGTCCACATTCCAGATCTCTCTCTCTCTATCTATCTATCTCTATCTCTATTTCTACCTCTCCCTCCCTCCCTCTTGTACGTGTGCATGCACACCCTGTATTTCCCTGCCCTGATCCCAAGTCGTCTTCCAGGTCCTACCTGGGCATCCTCCCCAACTGTGCCCCTGTGTGCTTTCCTTAGTTGGGTAGGGAGGCTGTGAGCAACTGGGGAAAGATGAGTGTGTAGGGTGGAATGTCTGCCACATACACACCTGTCCTCTGAGCACAGGAGAGACAGAGCTGCAGGGTGGGATAAGGAGAGAGTCTGCCTGTTTGTACACTTAGCCTTCCCAATGTTGGAGGAATTTAGATTCAGATTTGGAATAAAATCTTAAGGTTTTGGTATTGTCTCCTGGAAGCTGCATGGTCTTGGAAAAGTTACTTTCTTTCTCTGAATCACAGTTTCTCCATTTTCAAGAAAGGGTTATACCCAGGTGTGGTAACAGATGCCTGTAATCCCAGTACTTGGGAGACTGAGGCAGGAGAATTGCCTCAAGTTCAAGGCCACCTGGAACTACATGGTAAAATCCTGACTCCAAAAAACAAAAGAAAACCAAAAAACAAACCAAAATGGAGTTGTTAATGCTGCTTAGTTTATAGGGATTGGTGTGTATTACTTTATATATACTTATAAAGTTAATTACTTACTGTTTAAAAAATTGTATGGGAGGCTGAGGATATAGCCCAGCAGCATAGCACCTGCCTGGCAAGCTCAGGGTTGTGAGTTTGATCCTCAGTACCCCCCCAAAAAAGATAAAGTATTGGATTTATCTGGCAAATTTACTAGCAAAATTTGAGAAAAGTATTTCTATTACGTTATCAGGCAGATACTAGGGAGATAATACTTCTCATCATTTCTTATTGTTCCGTTATGTAGATGATGCAGATGTTGTGGCTGCTGTCCAATAAAGACTCGGCCTGCTTCCATTTCCGTGCTGCTTTTGCATCACCACTAAACACTTTTCTTAGATAGGATATGTTAATCACTTTATTGGTTATAATTTTATAAGAACTAATGGGGCTGGGGACTTAGCTCAGCACTATCAGTGCCTGCTTGGCAAGTGCGAGGTTGTAAGTTCGATCCCCGGTACCACACACACAAAAAAAGAACTATTTGAACATGTATAATATATTGACTGGTAGTCCATGTTTTCTTGCTCCATCTTCACTATAACCCTGCATGTTAGATTTACCCCCTTTTTTACAGCTAACTGGTACATACAAGGATTTCAAATGAGATTTTGTCAGCACTGACTCTTGCAGCTTGTATTACACTGATGTGGGTCCCACATTACATTATGTCATCTGATGCTTCTCTGATGAATGGTCCCTAGTATAGAAGGGGAGAAAGTACTATTGTAATTTTGATTTGTATTGTATATCTAGCTTTATAATAAAGATTGAAGACAATGATTAATCCTGTTACTGTTCCCAGTTGCCCACAGCACTGGGAAAGGGCTGTAATAACTAAGGCCTCAGTGTGACCCACACAGTGTGTGAAAGACCAAAGCACCCACTGTGAGATCGAGGATTTTTTTCTTTCTCTCAGAAGCAGTTGATCACTCCCACTGGCAGTACTGTGTTTGTAGAAGTGAAACAAAAGCAGGAGCATGTTTCAGAGTACGGCATGTGAATATGAATCGCACACGGATCACTAAACCTTTAGCTGCTAAACCATTTCTTTCTTGATTGACAAAAATGCAAGTCTGTGAAATTCTTAACATGCTGAAGAACTAGTGTAACATTTGGCTTTTAGAGGATAGTTGTGCTGTTTTTCTGTTAATTTTTTTATACCCATAATGATGGCATAAAGTGACTTACATATTATGCTAAAGCAAATGAGTTTTTTAAAAAAATCTCATGTTTTCTTTTGATCCTGTAGGATGTAGATGATTTCTTTGAGCATGAACGAACATTCCTTCTAGAATATCATAACCGGGTTAAGGATGCATCTGCTAAATCTGATAGGATGACAAGATCTCACAAAAGTAAGACTTTTATCCTGAAGATTACATTTTTAATGGAATAACTATAATCATAAAATCAAGCTGTTACTTACAGTTCATAAAAGTCTTGATATAGACAGTGGTGCTTAAACTATGTTTATAGTTTAATTATAGTTTCAACTGTGTTTAAAGTAAACCTTTGACATCCAAACTGTTTTTTGCCTTTTTCACTGTTATCATTTACACTGATGCAAAGGAAAAGGTAATAAAAAGTAAATAAAATTGCTAGTAAAATTGCTTTTGTAAATGCAAATCAAGACAATAACACCAAACTACCAGTAATCGTTACTTTAGGTGCATTTATTTATTGATTGATTGATTGATTGATTGATTGGTGCTGGGACTTGAATTTAAGACCTTACATTTGCCAGACAGGTACTGTGATGCTGAACTATATCCCCAACCCCTAATCATTATTTTTAAAAATATAACTTTCTTCCAGCACTCTGAGAACGTGAGCCAGGATAACCACAAGTTTGAGCCCTGCATTGGCTATTTGGAGACTTAGCTAGACACTGTCTCTGAAAAATAAAAAATGGCTGGAGATGTAGCTCAGTGCAAAGGCCCTGGGTTCAATACCCAGTACTGCAAAAACAAATGAAAAAAAGAAGGGTATGGATTTATTGCAATTTTCACTTCTTTAAGGACAGTCTTAACTGAGTCTTTGTTTTCTAATTGACTGATTAATTTTGCAGTACTGGGGATTGACCCTACTAAGTTGCTAGTTGCGCAGGCTGGATGCCAACTTGTTGTTTTCCTGCTTTATCTTCCCATAGTGCTGGGATTACAGGCATGTGCCATCATACCCTGCTGAATCTTCACTCTTGAGCCCACTGTTTAAACAGTATTCTACAGTCAGGCATGGTGATGCACACCTGTAACCCCAACACTTGGAAGGCTGAGGCAGGAGGATTGTTGAAAGTTCAGGACAAGGCTGCACTACAAAGTAAGCTTAAGGTACCCTAAACTGTATAGTGAGACTGTCTCAAAAAGACAGAAAATAAAATAAAAAGGATTCTAGGCCAAGTATATAACTCAGTGACACTATGCCTGCCTGGCAAGCATGGGGTCATGAGTTTGATTCCCTGTACCAAAAAAAAAGAAAAAGTATTCTAAGCGAAATGGGAGCTATACATAAAGCACTTATTCTGCATACTGACATATGATGGCACTTAGAAAAGTGTTTAGTGATTCAGTACTAACTGAACCAACTGCGTTTTTTTCAGAGTATGTCATTTTTACAGTGTTTCTAAATGACTGATGCATCATGCTGCATCTTTTTTTTTTTTTTTTTCTTTTTCCTTTTTATCGGTACCGGGGATCGAACTCACGACTGCCTGCTTGCAAGGCAGGCGCTTATGCCGCTGAGCTAAATCCCCAGCGCCCCCCCCCCCCCCTTTTTTTTTTGACACAGGGTCTCGCTATGCAGTTCAGGTTGGCCTTGAGCTCACTTTGTAGCCCAGGCTGATCTCGAACTTGAAAGGATCCTCCCACCTTAGCTTCCCGAGTGCTGGGATTACAGGCGTGAGCCACCACGCCTGCTTCAAAATCATATATTTAAAAGATCGATTTAGCTGGGCATGGTGGTGCATGCCAGTAATCTGGATCAGCAATCAGGATGCTGAGGCCGGAGGATAGTTGCAAGTTCGAGACCAGCATGGGCTACAAAGTGAGCTCAAGTCTTTCTGAAATGCATAGTGAGACCCTGTCTCAAAAAAATAAAAGATCCACTCAAAGTACAAGATGGACCAGTGTTTTTTGAACAGCTTCATTGAGTATAATGGGCATTGGTAACCGCAGTAATAAAGTATACAGTTTGATAAGTTTTGACATATTATGAGATCACCATAATAAGACAATAAACATGCCTGGAGCCCCCAGACATTTTTGTCATAGTCCTTGGTATTCCCTTCTGCCCCCTCCCTAGAAAACTACTGATCTGCTTTTGGTCACTGTAGAACAGTTTGTTTGCTGGAGTTGTGCTTTGAAACTCAATAAAATTACACAGTTATTTGTCCGTTCACTTAGTGGTGGACTTTGGGTTGTTTCTGTTGTATAGCTATTGCAAGTACGGCTGAGAGAGTCACCTGGCTATAACTCTGTGTGACTTTTCATGCCTCCTGGGTAATACACTGCCTAGAAGTAGAGTGGCTGGGTCACATGGAAAATGTATATTTAAATTTTAGGAAACTGCCAGACTTTTTCCATAGTGATTTTACCATCTTACATTTTCCCCAGTATTGCTGTGAGTTCTGTTTGCACCACATCATCCTTGCCAACAAAGTCAGTCAGTATTTTACTGTGCTGTCATTAATGAAGTTTTTAACTGGTACATACAAACATAATAATTGTGTACATTAATGGTGTTATATCATGTTTTGACGCATGTACAGTTGTGAACTACTTAAGTCAGGTTAAACACACCTGTCATTGTAAACATTTATCATCTCTTCATGGTGAAACTTTAAAATCTTTTCTCCTAGATTTTGAAGCTTTGGGCTAGGAATTTAGTTCAGTGGTATAAGTACCTGCCTGGCAAGCATGAGGTTGTGTGTTCAGTCCCCGGTACCAAAAAATTTTTAAAAATTTAGATTTTGAAGTATCTAGCAGTGTGTTGCCTCTAGTGACTGTGACATGAGACGCATGCCGGAACTTCTTGCCCCATCAAAGTGTTACTGAGCGCTATTGACCACTCATGCCCCTTCCCTTGCCTTCCTTCTCCCAAGCCCTTGGGAACCAGCACAGTGTCTACTCTCAGCTTCTATGAGATCAGCATTTTTACATTACATATGAGTGAGATCATAAGGTTTTTCCTTTTGTGCCTAATTTCAGTTAATGTAATGATTGCCACTCTTCTTTTTTTTTTTTAATCTTTTTATCGGTACCGGGGATCGAACTCACAACCGCCTGCTTGCAAGGCAGGTGCTTATGCTGCTGAGCTAAATCCCCAGCCCCAATTGCCACTCTTTTATTCTTAATGTTTCAGATGACAGAGCTTTGTTCTTTTATGACTGAATAGTATTCCACTGTTTGTGAACAATGTTTTCTTCATTTATTAGTTGATGGACACTTAGGTCATTTGCGTTTCTTGGCTGTTGCTAAGAGTACCTCATTAAACATGAGAGGGGAAGGGTGTCTTCAACATACTGAGTATTTCTTTTGGTCATGTATGCATAGTGGGATTCTTGGCTCAGTTTTTATTTTGTGAGAAATCTCTTGAAATTTGGTTTTTGAGACAGGATCAAGAACAGTTGAAGCTGTTCTTCATTTATATATATAAAAATGAAATGAAATTAGACATGTATGCTCTCCTTTGAGAAACGTACATTTATGTCTATTGCTCATTTTAACTTTTTTTGTTACTGAGTTTTTGGAGTTCCTTGTAATTCTAGGTTGATACCTTGTTAGATGCATCTGTTTTCTCCCATTCGGCAGATTGTCATTTTACTCCTCTGAAGGTTCCCGTTGCTAGCAGAAGCTTTTTATTTTGATGCAACCCCAGTTGTTTGTTGTTCCTTTTCTTTCTGTGCTTTTGGGATCTTCAGAAAAAATCTTTGCCTAGCTGGACATGGTGGCGTTACACATGTAATCCCAGTGCTCCAGGAGGCTGAGACAGGAGGATTGCCATGAGTTTGAGGACAGCCAGGGCTAAAAAGTGAGTTCAAAGCCAATCTAAACTACATAGTAAGAGAATCAAAAAAACTTAAAAGAAAAAAAAATTTTGGCTATCCTACTGTCTGAAACCATTTCCTTGATTTAAAAAAATTTTTTTTGTAGTGCTGAAAATTGAACCCAGAGGTGCAACACAATTATATTACATTCTTTTATCTTTTTATTTGTTTATGAGAGAGTCTTACTATTTGCCCCAGCTGGCTCTGAACTGCTGGTGATCCTTCCAGGTAGCTGGGATTACAGGCGTGCACCACTGTGCCCAGCTTTCCCTGTTTGTTTAACTTCACGTAATGATTACATCCATCATGGAGTGTTGGTACATGTACACAGCACATTTTAATTCTTTCAGTGTCCCCCCATGTTTTCTTAGTTTTATAATTTCAGGTTTACATTTTCTGTCTTTAATACATCTTGAGGTGGTTTTTATAATTAGTGAGAGGTAGAGATCTAGTTTTATTCTTTTACATGTGAATATCATTTTCTCCCCTGCCATTCATTAAAAAGATCACCCAATCTCCAGTGCATATTCCTAGCACCTTTGTGAAAAATCAGTTGGCTGTAGGTTTTTATCTGGGCTTTCTTTTCTGTCCTATTGGTCTGTGTGCCTGTATCATGTTGCTTTTTGTTTGGGTTTTGCTTTTTGAGTGCTTTGAGACAGGATCTCATTGCGTAGCCCAGGCTGGCCTGTGATGTTCCTGTCTCAGCCTCTGGAGTGTTGGGATTAAAGGTGTGCTTCACTGTACCAGTCTTTTATTGTACCAGGTATCGAACTCCAAACCCCATGCTCGGCGGGCAGACGCTTGTGCCACTGACTAAATCCCTGACTCTGTACCAGTGTTTTTCTTTTTTCTTTGCTTATCTTTCTTTCTTTTTTTTTTTTTTTTTTTTTGAGACAAAGTCACACTATCCAGTTCAGGCTGGCTCACTTTGTAGCCCAAACTGATTTCAAAATTTTCCTGCCTTGGAGCTGGGGATTTAGCTCTGCGGCATAAGCGCCTGCCTTGCAAGTGTGCGGTCATGAGTTCGATCCCTGGTAACGATAAAAAAAGAAAAAGACAAAAAAAAATTTTTCCTGCCTCAGCTGCCCAAATTTTGGGATTATAGACATGCACTACCACACTGGCTTTGAATTAGTCCTTTGTGATAACTACAACTTTGTTCTGTATTTGAAGTCAGGCTTTGTCATCTTTTCTGCTTTGTTCTTTTTGCTCAAAATAACTGTTTTTAGGTGCATGTGTGTTTCCTTGTGTGTGTGTGTGTGTGTGTGTGTGTGTGTGTGTGTGTGTGATTATTTATTTAGAGACAGAGTTTTGCCATGCAGTTCAGGCTGGCTTGGCCTGTGTAGCTGAGGCTGGCCTCAAACTCACAGCAATCCTCCTGCCTCAGCCTCCCAAGTGCTGAGATTATATGCGTGTGATACCATGCCTGGCTCTATATATATTTTAAAGTATGGACACTTTAGCAATATTGTTTCTTTTTTTCTTTTCTTTTTTTTTTTTTTTGTCTTTTTCCTTTTTATCGGTACCGGGGATCGAACTCACGACTGCCTGCTTGCAGGGCAGGCGCTTATGCCGCTGAGCTAAACCTCCAGCCCCGGCAATATCGTTTCTTGTAGCGGATGAATATAGGGTATCTTTTGTTGTGTGTATGGCTGTTTTAAAAGGTATTGCTCTTTGGTTTCTGTTTTGGATATTTTCTGTTGGCACATAGTACCAACTACTGGTTTTTGCATGTTGATTTTTTTTTTTTTTAGCCTGCAACTCTGCTGAGTTCATTTATTCTAAGAAGTTTTTTGTGGGGGGAATTGTATGTAAGATTGTCTTAAGTTATCTGCAAACAGCAACCTTCTTTTGTAATAGTGGGAGTTAAACCTGGGGCCTTTGATGAGCTACATCACTTTTCTTAAATTTTATTTTTAAATTTTGAGACAGAATCTTGTTAAACTGCCTAGACTAGAATTTGGAATTCTTCTGCCAGTGACTCCCAGAGTGCAGAGCCTATAGATGTGCAGTGCCATGCAATTAGACTTTTCTTTTTGCTTTTTTTTTTTTTTTTTTTTTTTTTTGAGACAGGATGTTTCTGTGTAGCCCAAGCTGGCCTCAAACTCAGGGTGATCTTTCTGCCTCAGTCTCTTGAATGCTGGTATTACAGGCATGAGTTACCATGCTTGGATTTTAATTTGTGTTTTTCTGGTGACTAATGTTGTTGAACATCTTTCCTTGAATAAATTCTCCAACTTAATCAAAGATTTTTAATAATCAAAGATTTTTTGGGCCCCACTCATTTTTATTTCTGTATAGATTTTAGTATGTTTATGTCTTTTTAAAAAATTTAAACAGCAATAAAACGAATCAAAACAGTGATAAGACAGTAGGAAGTATACAATAATTACTATATTGCATATTGTTGTCCTCTTAAATAGCTGCTTGGCTTTAGGCTTGCAAAGTTAGTCACCCTCTGGCTGGCTGACAGGTGGGGTTTAGCCTCCATCCTGGCTCTTCCCAGTCCGCCATGTTTGTCACTTTCTGCAAAAGTGCTTGCTGATATTTTGATTAGAATTAGAGTTTGATTGGGATTAGCATTTTTAGATTAATTGAAGAAAGTCACTATCAACAATATTGAGTCCTCTGATTTAATGTAGTATGTTTCTCCACTTAGTTCGGTCTTTGCTAATTTCAGCACTGTAGTTCTGTTGTGTACAGATCTTAAACATCTTCAGTTAGATTGGCCCCTAATTTTTTAGTGCTCTGTGTTACTTTTTTTTTTTTTTTTTTTGCAGTACTGGGGATTGAACTCACGACCTTGTGCTTGCCAGGCAGACACTTTATGCCACTGAGCTAAACCCCAACTATGTGTTACTTATGAAATGATTTTTTTCAGTTTCTAGGTATTCTTTGCCTATATATGGAAACACAAAGTAGTCCTCAAAATATAGTTCTAGTAGAATTGTGACTACGTAGCTAATTGTTTCACACCTGCTAATAAAGCTTTACTCTTCCTCCTTTCATGTGAATTCTGTTTCTTGTCTTCTTGCGCAGTCGCTGTAGGCGGGTCCTCTGATGTAACACTGATGAGAGGTGGCGAGGGCAGGCACCTTTACCTCCTTCCTGCTCTTAAGTATTCAGTCTTCAATAGTGACTTAGACAGAGGTTTTTCCTGTTCTCCCTCTATCAGGTAGAGATAGTTCTTTCACATTTCTAGTTTTTGCTGCCACACTCCTATAATCTCAGCGTACTCCTGAGGCTGAGGCTGGAAGATCAGGAGTTCAGGTTCAGCCTGGGCAGGTTCTGAGACCTTGTCTCAGAATAAAGTGAAAAAGGGCTGGGAGTATATCTCAGTGGCACAGTGCCTGCTGGCAACACAGGGTTGTGAGTTTGATTTGTGAGTTGAGTTTGATTTCTGGTACCAGAAAATAAAAAAATAAAGTGGAAAGGGCCACCACCATTCCAGCACTCCACCTCAGTGTCCTTCCCTCCCCAGCCCCATTTCCTCTCTTCCGGGCCTCCATTGATCCTCCTTCCCTCTAGTGAGGCTGAGAGTGTAGCTTAGTAGTAGAGTGTGCTTTTGTGTGCATTCTGACCATTACGTGTGGTGTTCCCATTATTCAAAACGCTTTCCCTTTGCCTGGTAGAGATTTCCTCATCCCTCAAGATCCAGTTCTGCCGCTAGGACTGCAGCTAAGTGGCACAGCACCTGCCTGTCAGATCCAGCTCTTACTATAGTTTCTTCTAGAAATCATCCTTCCCCAGCTTAATCCAGTGGAATCGTGTGTTCCCCAAGCAGTTTTTACATATGAATATGTCAGATACAATATTTCAGTTGTTTGTGTCACTTCCTTTGCTAGATTTTGGGCATGTTCTATTGCATGTTGCTGGTAAGTACTCAGTATTTTTAAATCAGTAAACATGTCAGATTTTTAAACCTTTCTCCATAGGTGCTGCAGATGATTACAATAGAATTGGTTCTTCGTTATATGCTTTAGGAACTCAGGATTCTACTGATATATGCAAGTAAGGATTCTAATTAATAGCATTAAATGTAAAATTTAAAGCAAATTTGTAATCTGGGCAGGCTTTCTGAAATGTTTCTTTAAAAATATTTAACTTTATTTTTTTTAAGCTACTCACTATGTAGCCCAGGCTAGCCTCAAAATCACAGCAGTTGTGCTGCCTCAGCCTTCTGAGTGCTGGGAGTACAGGCGTGTACCACCACACCTGGCTCAAAATGTTGATACTGGGGTTGGAGGTTTAGCTCAGCGGCATAAGCGCCTGCCTTGCAAGCAGGCAGTCATGAGTTCGATCCCCGGTACCGATAAAAAGGAAAAAGACAAAAAAAAAAAAAAAGTTGATACTAAGAAAGTTTTTTGTAAACTTGAGTTGATTCAGTTTTTCTCCCTATCTCAGAAACAAAAATGAGCTTTAGTATGTATTTACAGTGTTTTATTTAATGACAATGACTGATTTGTGTAAAAGAGAATTTATATTAGCCTTGTTACTTGTTTGTTATTACAGTACTGGCGGTTAAACTTAGGGAGTACTGAGCATGTGCCCCCATGCCCAGCTTCACTTCTTTTTTAAACAGGGGCTCAAGCTATGTAGTTCAGGTTGGCCTTGAACTTACTATGTAACCCAGGCTGGGCTCGAACTCAGAAGAGCATGTTCTCTAATATGCCAAAACAAATTTTAGTAAAACAAAGTCTATTTTGAGACAGGGTCTCAATATGTGGTTCAGGTTGGCTGTGAATATGCTATGTAGCTCATGCTGGCCTCAGATTCCCAGTGATCCTCCTGCCTCAGCTTCCCAAGTGCTGGAAATTCAGCCCAGCCCAAATAAAGCAAAGTTTATTAAATTGTTTTTGGTTTTAATAGAATTTGTCCTAATACTACTATAATATCATCTGTAATTACAAATGTTATAATCTCCATTTTCTTTCTTTTTATTTATTTATTTTTTTTTATGTGCTGATAGGGATTGATCTCAGCCTTGTGCATGCAAGATTAGAGCTCTACCACTGAGCAACATCCCCAGCCCTATAATCTCCCTTTTAATAGTGTGGTACTGGATTTATGTATATATTTTGGTGGTCCTTGGGATTGAACTCAAGGCCTCTACCACTGAGCTCCACTCCCTTCCTCCATAGTATTAGGATATGTTTTCCTTGATACAAACATTTAATAGCCTATTTAAACCATAAATGGTGTGGCATGCCTATAATCCCACCACTTGGGAGGCTGAGGCCGGAGGATCACTGCAAGTTCAAGATCAACCTGGGCCATAAAAGGAGGTCAAGGCCAGCATGAGCCACCAGGTAAAACCATATATCCAAGAGACAAACAATAACAACAACAAAAAATAGCCCATTTAGTTACATGTAAAGATGAATTCTGTGTGGGAATTGGTTATTATTTTTCAAAGCAAAGGATCTGTGTTGGAAGTATTTAAAACATAACTATCAAAATAACCAATAATTGCTCCAACTTCAATATTTTCCTTTCAGTCAGCTTTTGGTCTCTTTCAGTGTGATTATTCTATATTTCTGGGATCACTTTGAAGACGTAGGCTTTATTATTATGTGGTATATTACTGAAGGATAAAAAGATAAATTTAATATATGGCTCAGACTGTTGTCTTGAATTATAATAGATTCCATGTAATCTGTTATGCAAGTGAAGTTATGATCTGTTATGAAGATTTTTGTTGAACTAAGTGAAGTTCACAGTTAATAAGATCATTGTTTTATCTAGAACAAAACTGTTCTATATTAAGAGCAGGATGTGGTGGCACGTCTGTAAGAGCAGAATTCAGGAGGTTGAGATAGGAGGATCTCGAGTTTAAGAGCTGCCTAATTGAGACTGTGCCTCAAAATATTAAACATTAATATGGCTTGGGGTTATATTCTCTAAACATTAAAAGTAGAACATTATTTCAAGTACAGCTTCTAATGAAAAATATTTTTCCCTTCCAGGTTTTTCCTCAAAGTTTCAGAACTGTTTGATAAAACAAGAGTAAGTACTAAATTGTAGAGTTCTCCATACAAGATTGTGTCTGTACTATAGTTAACATTAAGAGTGATGTTTTGGGGGCTGGGGATTTAGCTCAGCAGCATAAGCGCCTGCCTTGCAAGCAGGTAGTCATGAGTTCTATCCCTGGTACCGATAAAAATGAAAAAAAAAAAGAGAGAGAGAGAGAGTGATGTTTTTTTCTGTCTCAGTCTCCTAAGTGCTAGAATTACAGATGTGTGCTACATCTGGCTAAGATGGTGGCTTTTGATCCTCTGATGCACTGGTTTGTAATGAGTAGCATTATTCCCAGCACTCCAGAGCTAAAAATGAATAACTGGGGGGCTAAAGGCAGAGTACATGGTTTGCTTGAGGGATCCCAGTTTGCTCCCCAGCATCCTCCCCATGTGTGTTACCAGTGCAGGGCACATACATAGTGCGGAAAGGTCACACTCGCAGCAGTGATATAACACTGGTGACGTCCGGATTGAGGGGCTAACCCTACATACCATGATATTTCATCTGTTGGTCAGTTGGTGAAATAGTGAGGTGCTGATTTGATGTTTAATGGTACTTAGCTGAAACTCTCGGTAACCATGCAGCATAAGGTCAGATTTCAGCATCATCTTGTCACTTAAGTGATAACAGGTACATGAAGGAGAAAAAGATGTTTTCATGCATGAGACACTGCTGTCAAGACAATAGTTTCTTATTCTTTTTTCCCCTTTAAAAAAATTTTTTTTCCAGTTCATCATTCTGCCTCTTTGAATTGTATAGCTGAGCACTTTCAGGGAACCTGTAGAGACAAGGGTTTTTTTCTGTACATTACATGAAAGGAATAGAGATCTAGCACATAAATAGACTTACATCAAGCCCTCTGAGGAAGAGATGTGATGATTAGATGTGAACGATACTGTGAAGAATGAAAAGGAAGGAGCAGGATGTTTGGACAGGTGAAAGGGGTGTCTCTCAGCTCGAGGCACCTGTGCAGTTTCCCTGTCTGACCGCGTGCTCTGTGGGGGTGTGTGAGGGCTATAGAGAGTGTGGGGAGAGGTGGTGGAGTCTCAGCCCTGGTGTGAACCTGGTACTGAACCCAGAGAGGTTGTGGTCGAGTGTCTGAGTCATTTCTGCAGCTGTTTTATAAAGGACAGAGATGGCTTTCCAGGGCTTGGGCCGGGAAGATATGGAGGCATTGTCTGAAGCTCTTTTCCTCTTGTGTCTGAGGTTCATGTTGGCCCCCACTTAACTTGTGCTAGGGCTGTGCTGGACACTGCGGGTGGCCTCTCTGTACTGCTTAACAACACAGACTGAGGGCTGGGGATTTAGCTCAGCAGTATAAACACCAGCCTGGCAAGCACAAGGTTGTGAGTTCAATCCCCAGTACCAAAAAAAAACAACCTCTGGAAGTTAGCCAGGCTGAATGATGCATGTGAGAGCATGGTTTCTTAAGGCCTGGGCCTGGACACTAGCACAGTGTCACTTCTGCTGTATTGGCCAAGCAGTCTGACAGCTTAGGAGTCCCAGGAAGGGAACATAGAGTCTTTTTTTTTTTTTTTTTTTTTTTTTTCAGTAAAAGGAGAGAAAATTTAGTTTAAAACGCCCATCCTCCCTATCAAGCATGTTCTCAGCACATCTAAGTCAGTTTTGAATATACTTTAAGAAGTTCCATGGGGCTGGGGATTTAGCTCAGCCTCATAAGTTGCCTGGCTTGCAAGTGTGCAATCGTGAGTTTGATCCCTGGTACCTGTTTTAAAAAAAAGAAGTTCCAGGGTTGGGCTATAACTCAGTGGTAGAGCTTGCCTGCCATTAGCAAGGCCCTTCGCTTAGTTCACAGTGCTGCCTAAGGTGGGGGAAGAGATCAGTGAAGTCTTAATTTCTCCATAAGGTGGTAGTACTTAGGAAGCTGCAGTTTTTCATATTTTTATTGAAGTGTATTAGGCATGCAGGAAAAAGCATGTATCATAAATGTATAGCTTATAACACATCACAACACATCCTGAGTAGAGGTGCCCCGCTTTAGCTGCCTTCCTTGGCACCGCACTGTCCTACTCCTGCAATAGAGACCGTTAGAGAATTACAGAGATGATGCTGAGACTCATAGTGTGGTGCTGGGATCAAATCCAGTCTTTCCATTATTCATTGGTATCAGCTGATTTAATCCTTTTTCTGTTCTTTGGTCAACGCTGCAAACATAAGTAGCAAGTAATTAGAAGGAAAGGGGAGGAAACTAGTAAAACAGGAGTACATACTATAGTTTTTAGAGCCTCAGTGTTTTTGCAGTGATTATTAAGAAGGAAAATGCTGAGAAGAGAGTCTGACTGCTAATTTTTTTTGTACTGGAAATGGAACTTACCTTGAGCTTGCCAGGCAGTTGCTTATGCCACTGAGCTGTATTACCGATTATGATTGCTAGTTTAACATCCAGTGTTACCCCTTTTTCAGAAAATAGAAGCACGAGTATCTGCCGATGAAGACCTCAAACTTTCTGACCTTTTAAAATATTACTTAAGAGAATCTCAAGCAGCTAAGGTAACTTCATTATTCATTTCTTTAGAGCTCCTTAGACTTAAGGTTGTTAAAGGTGACTTATTTTTTGATATATCTTGAAGTTAACTTTTATCGTTCTTAACTTTTATCTTTTAATATTTATCTTAATTTTTTTCTTCTAGAAATTGTAGATCAAGAATACCACATAAATTTACTGTATAAACGAGATGTGGTGTATAAGCATGCCTTTAATTCTAACATTCCAAGAGGCTGAGGCAGGAGGATCGAAAGTTTGAGCCAACCCTGGGCAATTTAGCAACATGATATGACCCTGCCCAAAAATAAAAAGGGGTGGGAATGTAGCTCAGTGTGAAGACCTTGAGTTCAGTGCCCAAGAGATTAAAAAGCGAAAATGGTACCTATACAGACCTATGGTACAGTATGATCTAGAATAAAGGAAATCTACAGAGACAGAGACCAGATTATGGTTATGTTGTGCTGGAGGACCATTGGAAATGGAGCGCGGCTGCTCATGGGCATGGGGTTTCTTTCTGAATGGTGAACACATTCTAAATTTGGTTAGTGGTGATGGTTTTGCAACCCTGAGCATACTGAAAACCACTGAATTGTGTATTTTAAAGGATATGTGAATTATGTCACAAACTGGAGAGAGGTGCTTTGTTTTGCATTTATTGTTTGTGGTCCTAGTAATTGCCTCTGGGGTCTTCACCCTAAACTGTGGCCCCAACTTTTTTGGGGGCTTGATCTTGTCATTCCTCCTGCCTTAGTCTCCCAGGGTGGTAGACTACAAACGTGTTCCACAACACCCAGCAATCAGCAATAAAGCTGCTTTAAGCCAAGCATGATGGCAGACACCTGTAATCTCAGCAAGAGAACAGCCATGAATTCGAGGCCAGCCTAGGCTACACAGTGAATTTAAAGCCATGCTGAACTACATTGTGAGGCCCTGTCCAAAACAAACTGACTAAATACATACCAAATAAAAACACTTAGAATAGGGAATGGGGGTTCAATCTGTAAAACCAAGCAAGTGCACGTAAAATGTGGAAGGATATCTGGCGTGTGGTGCTCACTCTGTGTGTCCCCTCTGGTGGGGTGGGGGTGAATCTGACATGTGGAACATTCTATCTACAGGATCTCCTCTACCGAAGATCTCGATCATTAGTGGATTATGAAAATGCTAATAAAGCACTGGATAAAGCAAGGGCAAAAAATAAAGACGTTCTGCAGGCTGAAACTTCCCAACAACTGTGTTGTCAGAAGTTTGAAAAAATATCTGAATCTGCAAAACAAGGTATCCTTATATTACTCTTTAGTCACAGGGTTGTCTTAGAGTTATTATGTAAATTTGTTAATTTTGTTTTTTTGTTGTTCACAGAACTTATAGACTTTAAGACAAGAAGAGTTGCTGCATTCAGAAAAAATTTAGTGGAACTTGCAGAATTAGAACTGAAGCATGCCAAGGTAGTATTAAAGATTTAATAATATAAGCCATGTGTGGTGACACATGCCTGTGATCCCAGCTTCCAGGAGGCTGAGGCAAGGGGATCACAAGGTCAGAACCTGTTTCAAAATAAGTTTTTTAAAAGGCTGGACATATATAGCTCAGTGCTCCCCATCCTCCCCTTCCCTCCCTTCTCTTCCCCTCCTCTTCCTTTCTTTTTTTGTGTATGGGGGTTCTTTTTTGCTTTGTTTCTTGAGACAGAGGTCTACTAGGATTTATAGGAATATGTCATTATACTCCACTTCCATTCTGTTTGGTGTGGTTTTGTTGAGACAGGGTCTGTAGTCCAGGCTGGCTTTGAACTCTTGGCAGTGCTCCTTCCTTTGCCTCCCAAGTCCTGGATTACCACTTCCTCGGCCTGATTGACTCTCAAAAGAGCTAGTTTGTAATTTGCACTGATCTTTTTAAGGAGTCTTATGCTGTTGAACAGGGTTGTATATGTAGATCAAGGGGTGGCAAAGTATATTGGATTTTGTATAGCCTGTGATTGAGGAGTGGTGGTATTCTTGTTTTTAAATGGTTTAAGTAGCAAATGAAAAGCAGTGATAATCATATGGAATGCAAGTGTAAATTTTGTAAAGGTTCTATTGGGATGCAGCAGCCAAGTGCACTCATTTCTGCTGGTTTGTGGCTACATTCACACTACCTCAGCCAAGTGGAGGCTCTGACATGGACCAACCGTATGTCTCCAAGTCTACAACACTGACTGCACTCACAGAAAAATTGGCTGCCCCCTGCTCCTGAATTAGAGGATTTCCAGATTCTGTGTTCTTTCAAGTTCTTTCTAAAGTGTGTTCTTTGTATTCATTCATATTTCTGATGGCTGTCCTCACTCCCATGGTTCTCAATGGGTGGGTGGGGGCCTGCCCTGCAGCAGAGGTACAGGCACGGTGGGGTGGGCAGTGGTAAGATGCCAGGCTGCTGGTGTGGCCAAACCAGGGGTTACACAGCTCCACTGTCTTAGTGCTGGGGGCCAAGACAGAGCCTGAGATTTTGCAACTTTTTTTTTTTTAATCTGTTGTACTCCACTTACTCCTTCAGTTTTTTATGCTAGAGAGATAACTCAGTGTTCACTCATATGAGGCTAGACCATTTCACCCATGAGCATGATCTCCAATAGCATCCATTTACCTACAAGAGCCTCGAGATTATCGTATTTTATTGCTGGGTAGTTTTCCATCGTATGAAAATGCCTTATCTTTCTTTTCCGTTCTACGATTGATGGACAAGTTACCCTTCCTTTTTTCTGCTCTCTTCTCATGTGGAACAATTGTTTTCTCTCCTTTGATTTTCAGTCTGTGAATTTCCTTTCCAGTTAAATGTATTTCTTGTATACAGTGCATCGATGGATCTTGTTTCTTTTTTTTTTTGGTCTTTTTGCTTTTTTATCGGTACTGGGGATTGAACTCATGACTGCCTGCTTGCAAGGCAGGTGCTTATGCTGCTGAGCTGGATCTTGTTTCTTGATCCACTCTGTTTTTTTTTTTTTTCTTGCTGACCTGAGGCCATCTACATTAATGTTTACAACCAGCATACATTGGTTCGTCTCTGCCCTGCTATCCCCTTGTTGTTGGCCCTCCACTTTTCCACTTCAGTTGCCTGTCCTGTTTGGTGACCCTCCTCTGCTGCTGTTCCTGGAACCATGGTCATCTTTGTCTCTCTCTGGCATATCCTTTAGCACTCTGTAGGGTTGGTTTGGTAATCATGAATCCCTTCAGTTCTTTACCATGGGAATATCTTATTTTTCCATTAATTTTGAAAGGATATATCAATATGGGTTGGAAATTGGTTTCTTTCAGGATTTGAAACACTTCACTTCAAACTCTTCTTGACTTGATGGTTTGTGTTGACAAGTCTACAGTGACTCTTACTAGTTTTCCTTTATAGGAGATCTGTTTCTCTAACAGCTTTGTTTGTTTGTTTGTTTGTTTTGTTTTGGGGGAGTACCAAGGATTAAATGAACGACCTTGTACTTACCACGCAGGCACTTATTGCCACTGAGCTAAATCCCCAGCCCCTCTAATAGCTTTTAATATTCTGTTGTTGTGCTGAATTTCTGGGATCTTGATTATATATGTCTGGGTATACATTTATTTTGGTTATGGCTAGTTGGAGTCCTATATGCTTCACTTACCTGTATTCCATCTCCTTTCCCCATGTTTGGGAAGTTTTCTGCTATTACTTCTGTGAATAGTCTTTTTATCTCATTTGTGTTGATCCCTGCTTCTTCACTGATACCTGTCACTCTTACATTATATTATTTATTTTGCGTCATCTTGCAGCAGTTGAATGGTTTTTTTCCTGGTAACTTGTTATCCTGTCTTCAAGATCATCATTTTCCTATGCTGCTCTTTTTTATCCATGTCTTCTTTAGATATGCTCAGGAATTCTTTATGTTTGTGATTTCCTCTTTTACCTGAGACATTGCTGATCAGATCACTTTACAGTCTCAAGAAGTTGTTTCTTTACTTCAGTTGCTATCCTCTCAGAGATTTCAGGTGTGTGACTTCCATTTTTTTCCATGACTCTATTTCCCAGACTTGTTCTATGTGGGCTGGAGCTCTGAGATTGCTTTTTGCTCCTTTGTCTTGACATTCTTTCCTGGGTTCCTTCCAATAAGCCAATTGTGGGGTCCTAGATACTTCCCACTTTGGCTGTCTCTCTGCAGTGTAGGAGAATGAGACAGGTATCTGGGTTCCTCTGAACACAGGTTCCCAAGGAGGTAGCTGGGATGAAGTGGGCTTCTCTAGACCTGTGCACCTACACTGGGGCTTCACCGATGATCAGGGGTGTATGGTGTTAAGTTGCTTCTCTCAGCCTGTGTGTCTACACTGGGACTTTCCCTGATGGCGGCAGACACACAGGGTGTGTTTGTCTGATTCTTCCTGTGGGTGCTGGCCACCAAAGGAAGCAAGGTCTCCAGTGGAGGTCTGCAGGTACATGGGGTATCTCTGGCTGCATCTCACTGCCTGCTGGAATCAAGCTTTCTGATAGCAACAGGGTCACACAGGGGTGGGTCTGGCTGTGTTTCCCTGTCCATGCTGCTGTACAGGAAGCCAGCCTTCCAGTGGCAGCAGTGGTGGGCAGGGGCAGAGCTCTTGTTTTGTTTTTTTGTTGTTGGTTTTTTTTTTTTTTTTTGGTCTTTTTGAGACAAGGTCTCGTAGTGTAGGCTGGCCTTGCGCTCACTTCGTAGCCAAGGCTGGTTTCGAACCTTCGATGATCCTCCTGCCTCAGCCCCCGAGTACTGGGATTACAGGTGTGAACCACCACACCTGGCTCTTGTTTTGTTTTTGAGACAGGGTCTTGCTATTTAGTTCAGGGTGACCTTGGACTCACCACGTAGCCCAGGCTGACCTCAAACTCACAGAGATCCTTCTGCCTGGTCCTCTTGAGTGCAGGATCACAGGCATGTGCCACCATGCCTGGCCACTACAGTAATTTTATTAATCTTAACAGTCCTGTTCTTTTAAAATTGAGATATTTGTACATAGTTGCAGGACTCATTACAGTCATTTCATACAGGAATATAATGTGCAATAGTCAGATCACAGTATCGAGCCTTTCCATCTCATAAAAACATGTTGGGAATTTTTTTTTTCCCTTTTTTTTTTTTCGTTTTTTTTATCAGTACCAGGGATCGAACTCACGACTGCCTGCTTGCAAGGCAGGCGCTGATGCCGCTGAGCTAAATCCCCAGCCCCTACATGTTGGGAATTTTGAAATGTCTTGTCACTTTGAAGCACATGTAGGTTATTTTACACAGTAATTACTCTACTATGCTAGAGGAGCCAGAAGCGCTTCTTTATTCTGTTTCAGTGTCCATAATGAACTTTCCTCATTTCCCCTCCTGGCCCTGTGCAAATAGCCTAAATTGTAGTAAAATTTACAGTATGATAGTCTGAAACTACTTTGAGTTTCATTTATTATGTCTTGCAACATAATTAAAATCGATTGAAATGGAAAACTGTATCCTTAAAAGTAGTTTTGGTCTTTTTCAGTTAAGCATAAAATGTAAGTGTAAAAATGCATGAAACTGATCAGGGAGGGTGGTGGGCCATGTGTGCCTCCTTGCCCCATTGCTAAAGTGGATAGTAGTACATACCCTTTTTGGTGGGCACTTGAGTGTGTTACAGTGTGGAATATAATTTGATACAGTGCTGCGTGCCTAAAATCCCAGCACCCCAAGAAGCTGTGGCAGGAGGATCATACATTCAAGCATTGCATGGACAGCCTAAGACTGTATTTCAAAAGTAAAAATTTAAAAAGGGATGGGGATGTATAGCTCAGTGCAAAAGCTGTGCATTCAATCTCCAGTAGTCAGGAACAAACAAACCAAAGAAAATTAAGTGTGGCCAAAAAGGGCATAATTAGAATCTTCATTAGTTAATCCAGACCATTAATATTGGTCTAGAAATTTGTTTACTTAAGAATGGCTGTATCCAAAACCCTGACCTCTTAAAGCAGTGTGAGTTCTAATACTGTGTATTTTCAGTAATGTTCTTTCAGGCTGTTTGGACTAAAGCAGTTTGTAATCTCTGTCCTTCACAGGGTAACCTCCAGCTGCTGCAGAACTGCCTGGCAGTGTTGAATGGAGACACATAAGCCACATTCAGTTCCTGTTAAAAAGGGCTGCCTTCCTTCAGATCTTACTTTTGTTTTCCTAATGACATTACATATTTCTGCTCACCAGAAGCAAAGCTGACAAAGTGCATCTCCTCCTCCTCCTCCGAGAAGCAGCGGGCAGCACCGTGCACAGGCAGTGCGGTCTGTGCCATGCGCTGTGTCCCTGGACAGTGTCCATCACATGCACCATCCTACTCTGAAGCCCAGAGTCCAGTCTTTTTTTAAGTAGCCTTGATAACTGAGTTTATTTTATAAATAGTATTCTTTATGGCTGCCAATCTTATTTACCTTTAAATCATTTCTGATGTTTAACCTTTTCAAATTACATTATTCAAACAAGGTAAAAATGGCCTTTCTTGATTTTTTTAAGATTTTATTTTTAAAAAGGATTGCATTGTATACTTAGTTCATTCATGTATCCTTGTAAAGCATCATAATGAGACTTAATTTTAATTAATCATCATAAAAGTTTTGGACCAGACTTTCTGTAATCTAAGTTTGATTTCTGAAGAAAAGCAAATGCATTAATTAGTATGTTTGCCTTAAACTTGTACACTAAACCAATTATTGTAAAATAACCAGCGATAACAATGATAAACTCTGAGATCATGTATCACTCTAAAATTTGGAGTAGCAATAATAAATCTACTCCAGTATTATGCTTTACAGTGCAGATTTTAGTTTCTTTCTTTTTTTTTTTCTTGTTTCTCTTAAAATTATACATTTATCTGGCTGTGGCAGCAAATGCTATAATCACAGAACTTGGAAGGCTGAGGCAGGAGGATCACCCCAAGTTTGAGGCCAGTCTACACTATGTAACAAGACCCTGTTTCCAAAACAAAAACAAAGACCATACTGAATCAGTTAGCAGTCTCTTTAGAATAGAACAGACTGTTCCTCTATACACTGTAGAAGGTGGAATGGCACAGAGGCAGGTGACAGCTGCTTGGGAAATACTGGAGCAGTGTAGTCTCTACAGTGTATAGTTTGCTGGCCTCCATCCCTAGCCAGCCACAGAATCATGAGACACGTGCTGTTCAGCCACTGGGTGGCTCTCATGCTACCATATCAAGAGAGATCTGCTGCTAGGAAGAGCTCTCACCTGTGGGAAAAGTAGAACGTTTGCGATAAAAGCTGGTGTGTAGGTAGGATAGTGCTCGCAAGTTGCCACTGATAGCCCTTTATTCAAGAAGAATCAGCCAGGTGGTCCTCCACAGCCAGTAGTTTTATTACAGATATTATTGGCCTTTCGAATGCGAATGAACCTTAATGTCATTCCCAGTTCAGAGTTAGACTGAGCGGTTAGAGTTTTCCACCACTTATTTCTAACTTTTGTCCTGTTTGGAAACTGCAGTCATTTGGGTTGGTGACGCCTGAATGGGTTTCTAGTTTACATTATCCCAGACTGTCCTCAAGATTGCCTGGCTTGTCTTCCTGCCCTCCCGTGACTCCTGCCTTTCTCAGCATATTCTCCCACTCACACACCTGCTGGTTAATGTCTGTCTAATGATGTGCCCTCCTGATGCTGTGGGAGCCACTGATCTTTTCCTTGTGGCCCAGGGGTCTGTGTAGTGTCTTTGATGTAGCCAGCATCGGTGAGGACTTGATGAGCTGTGCCTGCCTGTGTGTGCTGGCCCAGCAGAGCCCCTCGTCTGTGCTCAGGTCCCACCCTTCCCCAGCTGCTCTGTGCCTCCAGCAGGCCTGGGTAGGTTTGCTTGACTTCTGCCTCAGTTTTGTCTCCTAAAGGACCTTGACCTACCTCACAGGGGTGTTGTGAGGATTAATAAACGTTGGTACTGTGCTTTGGAAACATGCAAGTGCCATGTAAATGCTCAGAAGTTCCACACATGCAGTGTTTCACATAGTTTTTGTCCTCTGCTTACCAAGTGATCAGCTGGGGGCAGAACAGAGTGGATGCAGCCCTGTGATACAGGAGACAGGGCATGGCAAAGCTGGGTGGGGAAACGAGGGGCAATTTTTTTTTGTTTGTTTTTTTCCTTTTTATCGGTACTGGAGATCGAACTCACGACTGCCTGCTTGCAAGGCAGGTGCTTATGCCGCTGAGCTAAATCCCCAGCCCCTAGAGGGGCACCTTTCAATTACAAGACCTCAGGACCGTGTGTATAGGTGCAGGCTCTCATGAGATGTGGATGGCATAAAAGAGACCGGGGCCTCTTTCCCTGATAACCCACATGACATTCCTAGATACAACATGTATTATTGGTTCGTTCTTTCTTTCTTTCTTTTTGGTACCAGAATTGAAGTCACACTTGCCACGTAGGTGCTGTGCTGCTGAGCTATATCCCTGGTGCAGTTTTTCCTTTTTTCTCTTGTTCTACTTGTTCTAAATACTCTGAAGAGCTGGGTCTCCTATACCCATTTTAGCCCTCAGATCCCAAGTAAATTTTTGGCACTGTTAGAACATAGTAAGGTGAGTTCCCCATAGTAGAGACATCAAAGGTATCATGGACTGATCAGGCCCACAGCCTCCCAAAGGAGTAGACGCCAAAGGCTTAAATAAGAGACAAGTGGGGGCTCCAGGAGGATCAAAACCCTCTAGCAGAATATGAGATTCTCTGCAGGCTGAGACATAAAACTGAATGGTAGGCATTTAGTTGCTTTTCAATGAAGAATTGTAAGTTTGAGACCAGTCTAGGCTACAAAGTAAGCTCAAGCTCAGGCTGAACCGCATAGTGAGACCCAATCTCAAAAAGACAAAAAACAAAAATTCCTATGGGAGGAAATACTTGAGTATATGTTCTTTTTCAGTTGCAGAGGACCAGAGCAGAAGACTAATAAGTTTGCACATGGGTTCCAAACCTTGACCCTTGCTGTTGACTGTGATGAGATGTCCAATTCATCCTAGCCACTTGCTGTACCTCAGATGAAAGACAAAGAATGCTACCAGAGGTTAGGAACTATGCAGATGAACAATATAGTTCAAAAATGGAAGGAAACCACCCTGGAGAGGCTATTCCTTCAGTAGAGCCAAACATACTAGAATACTCTGCATGGACTAGAAATGATGCCCAGTATGCTAGCTGCTGTTACCATGGGAATGAGTGGGGTCTTACAGAGCACAGAAAAATCCAGCTTTGTTTTATAAGTGATTGGCAAAGGCTAATATAGATCCATCTTCCAGGGAGGGGAGCACTATGGTACAACATTTCATCTGTCAGTCAGCCTCAGGTACCTGGTGCAAGCTACAAAATCTTCAGATGGGGGCTACAGACACCTATGGTTCAACTGCTGGAAAGGGCAGCTTTTGTGTTCAACAATGGGGACCCAGAGGAGAGAAAAGGGAAAATCTAGAATGGCAGCTGTTGTAACTGGTACTGCTTTAAACGCACCCAGATCATCTAAGGAAAGAGCTAGGGACAGTCGGGGAAAGAGTCCTTGTTTTGAGTACAAGAGGACCAGAGACTGCACACCATTGCACCAAGCCTTCACCTGGGCTCTGCTCTGCAGTGGGAGGCAGCTCACATGCTGACTTTTGGCACTGGAGGTTTGACCATCCCTGTCCCAGGGCAGGCCTAGGGCAGCCAGAAACCTGTTTCCTTCTCACAACTGAAGGGCCCCAGGGGAACCTGCAATAGGCCACAGGCATCTCCATTTCTTCTGAGGAATCCTGGGTAGACTTGGATGTCATGGATGAGCCAATTTGACTCATTATTGACACGGGCAGCTCTTTCTATTTTTTTCTCTAGAAAACGTTCCTCTAAGTCTATAGCCATAGTTGGGTTGAAGGGACCCCTAGTCAAATTTTTTTCTCCTCTGATGTCAATTTGAAGGTTAGATGTTTAACCATGAGTTTCTAATGGTACCACAGTGTCCTACTTCCTTGCTGGGAAAAGATTAACAAAATTGAGGGAAATTCTCAAATTCCTGCTAAGACCAAAACACATTTTATTTGCTGGGACTACACCAGTTCTCCCTGATCAAATTACCCAGCAGGTAAAGTGTGCTGCATGGTATAGGGGAATACCTGCTAGGGCAAATTCAGCTATGGCACGAACTATAAGACTAAAAGATCCCAGCCAACTTCCTAATTGAAAAGTGTCCAAAACTTAGTAGTTAGAAAAGAAAGAGAAAGAAGACAGCATTCAATCATGGAAGAGCCAGGTAAGGGCCTCCACCCTCTTACAGACAGATTTCTCAAATATGGCCATTTGAAACCATCTGTCCTCTTGTCCCCTGACAATCCTCCCATTTTTCCTGTAATAAAGCACTCATGAAAATATAGGATGGTACAGGACCTCTGCCTCAACAAAGCTGTCATTCCAATCCATCCTCTAATGGCAGATGCAGATATAATTCTCTTCCAAATTCCAGGGGATACTAATTGGTTCTGCCTTAGATTTTTTTTTTTTTGACTAGGGATTGAACTCAAGTGCTTATGCCATTGAACTATATCCCCAGCCCCTAGGATACATTTTTTTTTTTTTTTTTTTTTTGGTACCAGGGATCAAACTCATGTTCGTGCACTTGCAAGGCACATACTAATGCCACTGAGCTAAATCCCCGGGATATATTCTTATATCTGCAAACAACAGCTACCTAGGGACTGGATCCAAGCTATCTATAATCTTGGGCCTCCTGCCACCAAACAGTCGCTTTATTCCTTCCTGGAAAAAGCAGGCTCTTGTAGGATCAATCTACCAAATTTCACTCTTGACAAAGCCTATTAAATGAGGCAGTAAAAAGGCCTCAAGGCTCAAAGAAGCAATGTAGTCCCTACCGCCGTGTGCTGACAGGCCCAGCCAGCTATCAAGCAAAGAGGACAAGCAAAGAAGCAGTGCCACCTGCCATGCACCAGCAGAGGCCCTACTGGCTGGAGAGAAGTGACAAGGAAGCCATGTGCTAGTGTGGGCCCTGCTGGCTGGGGAGAAACAGCAAAGAAGCCACCTCTGCCTTCCACCCTTCCACCTGTATGCCAATGGACGTGACACAGGCTGAGATGATAATAACTGAAGTAACTGAAAGAGGGTAGTAATCTAACACCTATGTTATTTGATTGACTTTGCAGGCCTGGGGCCACTGGTCTGGGTAACTACTTAGAGGATAATAATATGTAATATAGTAACAATTGTAATTTCCTACTGTCCTATTATTGTTTTGTTTTGTCTCATTTTACTATTCTGTTTTACCCCCTTTAAAATTAAAAAAAAAAAAAGGCCCTAAATCTACTAAATCTATACCTCTAGCATGGACTAGAGTAACTAACAATGCCTTTAGAAAAATAAAGCATGCCCTTACTCAGGCTCCACCGCTAGGAATGCCTGATTTTAAAAAAACCAAAAAACTTTCCTGTCAGGTGTAGTGGCACATGCCAGTAATCCCAGCACACAAGGAAGCTGAGGCAGGAAGATCACTTGAGATCTAGGCCAGTTGGGACTACATAAATAAGTTCAAGGCCACTCTTGGTACATAGCAAGACCTTGTCTCAAAAAAACCAAAGCAAAATAAAAATCCTTTTTCTCTTCTTCTATGTGTCAGAAAAGGGAAGGATTGCTTTGGGGGTCTTGATCCAAAGGCTAGGACAAGTGTCCCAGGGGCATACTTTTCAAAGAAATCAGATTGGGGTGGCTGCTGGTAGCCATCCTGAGAGCAGTAGCAGCTACAGCTGTACTAACAGAATGTTAACTACAATGTTAACTTTGGGACAGAGACCAGAAATTTTGACTCCCCATGAGGTCAGAGCTATTCTGGAGACAAAAGGTTATTTGTGGTTAATGGGGAACATATCAAGGCACACTCTTAAATACTGCTGAGGTCATTACAAAAACTTGCATTTTAACCCTGCTTCTTCCATGCCTACAGAGCCAAAGATTAGTCATTCTTGAGAATAAGTAACCTATGCAATCAGGCAGGTTAGGAGTGACCTTCCCCTCCCAGATCCTCAGGAGGTATGGTTTCCTGCTGGGAAATAGCTTTGTCCAAGAACTTCTAAAGGCAGATTATGCAGCTGTCAACTCACAACAGGTCACTGAAGCCAAACTTCTTTCCCCAGGAACTTCTGCTCAAAAGGCAGAGCTGGTAGCTCTTACTCAGGCATTGATATTAGGAAAAGACAGAAAGTTAAAGATCTCTACAAACTCCAAATTACGCCTTTCTGGTACATACTCATGAAATACGGAAAGAGGCTTACTGACTGTCATCTATAAAACCTAGGAAGTTCTACAGCTCCTCCTAGAGGCAATGCATCTCCTCAGGTTGCAGCCATACACTGTTCGATACCAGAGATATGCCTGAAATTTCCTTGAGAAATCAAAAAGGCTGACATTTTGGCTGACAGGCAAAAGTACACCCTATGACCCTTATGACCCTAGCCTTATTCTCAATTCCTGAGGAACCATTAAAACCAGTCTATACCCCTCCCAGGGGGATGGTTTAAACAGATGTTGGTCCTAGTTGACACTTTTACTTAAGTCTATCCTATCCATTCAGAAAGAGCAACTGATACGGTCGAGGTACTGCTTAAATCCTCAGATGGGGCTAGTCCAGTCCCTCCAGAGTGACAATGGACCTTCTTTTACCTCCCAAATAACTCAGGGAGTGGCAAAGGATTTAGGAATAAAGTATCATTTCCATTCTACTTGGTGGCCTCAATCCTCTGGAAAGTTAAGAGTCAACCAGACCATAAAGCAAGCTCTGGCAAAATGTCTGGTCCTGGCTCTGATGGCTACCAGTAGGACCCATGAGAGTTTGTAACATGCCCCAAACTGGGCTGTCTGAGCCCATCTGAGATGTTATATGGAAGGCCACGTCTATCCTCTGATATGATGTAGACACAGACACTATGGGACTCTT